AGATGAACTGCTTTCAACAGAGGCCATTCCAGACCCTGGCCACCGTGCTGGTCAGCCAGGAGACTCCTGCCTCTTGTCTCCCACTGCAGAAGCGTCATCATGGCTCTATCAAGAAAGGACTCTCGGTGGCAGGGCCCTGAGGTGAGCCTAGGCAAGAACTTTGAATCCCGGGCCATGGCCCAGAGACACCCCTCGGAGACTGACCACCGTCCTGAGGTGACTGGACTGGCCTGTGAGCACCGGCAGCACCCTGCGTAGGCCAACGGGCAGCTGGTAGCAGTGGAGTCTCTCAGACCTGCCATTCAAGCAGTTCCCACTGTTCACTGTCATTTGACTTGGAGACACAGGGGCTGCCCCAGTTCCAGAAGGCAGGCAGAGCTCGGGGCCAGCGTTTTGCTGGCCTTGAGAGCAGTCGTTCTAGGCCTGCGGCCACCACTGATTCTTTTCTTCAGGATGTCTGAGAGTTGCTGAGAGATGAGATCAGATGAGCCTTCGTATGAGAGGTGGGCAGCACTTGAGCTCCTGCCAAGACGACACCCAATATCTGTTCATGCTGTGACCCAGGGTGGCTCCCGTGGGTGCATGGGGCCTTCCCCTAGAGCCCAGGCTGGTGTGTGGGGATGCCTAATGTGCATGTGTCTGTGTCACATGCCACAGGTGAGGGGCGGATCCCTGGCCCTGGGTCTTGCCGAAGCTGTGGCTGGGAGGTCCCCTGGGCTCCTGCGCTGCTGTGGCACTTCGACTCTGGGGACCCTGCTCTGTTCTCCTCTCACTGTCCCCAGAGCCTGGCGGCACTTCCCACCAGGAGCACTTTGGCGGCTTGTGTCTTCCCTACCTGCAGTTTTTGTTTGTATTCAATGAAAGCTTTTCTAGAGTCTTTAAATTCTCAAGGAAACAGTATTCTTCTCCAAGGGGAAACGATGATTTTTTTTTTCTTCCCTTAAATTATGTAGATGGAGATGTGTCTGCACTTGGTTAGTCGCATGTCTACCAAGATGTCATTACTTACAGAGGAGCCGGGGATTTTCAAGAATAGTAACATGGTAATTTGTCTTTCAAATACTGTTTTACTTATAGCAGCAATAACAGGCAATGTATACTATTTTTCAGTGTTATAATCTGATTCACTCTTTGATATAAACAGCTTTATCTCATCTCATTGTTTATTTCACATTCCTATTCCTCTGGAAAGAACAATATTTTTCCCCTGAAAAGTAATATATTCTTGTCTAAGGGTGGCTTAAATAAGTAACAGATGGCCTCTTTTTGGTGTATCTCCTGCCTCTACTGCTCTCCACATTTGATGGGATATTAAAATCAGTGTCTTTGGAGTGTTGCACGTGCCCAGACTTAGAGATTTGTTACCAACTGGCTTCTGTTATTTACGGGATGCTGGTGATGCTTGGATAGGTTTAGGATAGAGGCAATTTAATCAATTTATTTGTGCTTGTCAAATAGAAGGTGCTTTCACAAGTCTCTTTCCTGGTTTCCAGTTTCCCAGGACAGTGCTGGGAAGACATACTGGAGCATACCATGTGCCACGCCACATTGGTGACAAAATGGAACACACCGTGCATCTCTGTGCATGGATCCCACCAATCCACTTATGTACATCTCAGTTCTAATATTAAAACTTGTTCTGGGACCTGGACAGAATCTTTCTCATCATGAAGAAGTTTGGTTTAATTTGGGGAGAAGATAGAAGATTAGAAGCTGGAGATGCTCTTTGTGGTCTTGCCAGCTTGCCAAGTTGGGAATGTCATAGGGTCACCTCCACTCAGGGTTCCCCACAGAATATGATGGCTCACCTGTTGCAAGGGTAGTATCAGGTAGTAGTTTTGCAAATGCTTTAAAAATCCAACACAACTAAGCCATTTAATTTTAACATTAAAATCAAGCAATTAACTAAATATGTTGCATAATGAAAGGCTTTTGTCTATAACACTGCAGTTAGTAGATTAGCCTTATAGTCAAAAGGCATTCTTTCAAAAGGTATCTTTTGTTTACAATGAGAACTTTGAGAGAAAAAAACCCACAAATATGCAATAGGTCATTACTGATAACTGTCACCCTGGGGCAGGGATTGAGACAAACTCATTTCTTCTTAAACACTACAGTCCTTTGAGCTGTATAGGTTCTTGAATGTATATTGAACAAAAATGTGAATATTGTTGTGGATAAGTCATTCTAAGGTTTGGTTTCAAAAAAATCTTTAAACTTTGAAGTTATGTAATTTTGCACTCTTGATTTATCCTTTTCTATAATCATTGAAATTAGTTTTTTTCCCCTTACTAGATAGAAAGCTGAGGACATGATTATTATAGAAAAGTTGAAGAATACAGAAATACAAAAAAGAAATCACCATCTTGCTGTCTCCATAGATATTACAGGGACAGATCTCCAACATACATCAGTATATAAAAAAGCAAGTCACAAAACAATATTTATATATAACAGCAATTACATAAAGTGTATGTGTACATATGCATATGGGTGTTGGTGTGTCTATATAGTATGTCTGTGCAGATGGATGGATAGCAGAAAGACAGGAAGGACACATTGCAACGCACAGGGTAAGTCTGCAGAGAAAGTACCCTGGGGAAAATCAGAGGGAAGAGGAAGCTGTGAGCAGGAGTGTTTGGGTGCAGACTGATGGAAGGGGGTGGGTTTGAGATGAGCCTTGGAGGACAGCACAATCTTGAAACACAGAGAGGAAAGAGAAGCAAATTCCTGGTGAGGGTTGGCACAGGAACCGGGTGTCACACATCACTTTCGTGCGGTATGTTTAAGTGCAGGTGAGAAGTGTGGTCTCCTACCACACCGTTGTGAGGTGAGAGAGACCTCTGGAAAGCTGGATGTGGACACTGTGGAGGGCTGTCAAGGGCAGCTCGAGGCAGTGGGAACCAACCAGTGAAAGCTAAAAAGCAGGGGAGTGAAATACAAAATTAAGATTTCCTGAAGCCAATCTGGGGTGTTTAGTAGAATGCGTTGGAGGGGAGAGGAGGGAGAGGCTGGTTACCCAGGTGAGAAATGGCGTTCACTGCGGAGGCCAAGGCCACAGCACATGCAGCAGTGGACCACGTGGATTACCTTCTGAGCATCATAGGACTCGGCGCCTGATAAGATGGGGGTGGACAGGAGAAAAAAGATTCTAAGGTACAAGCTGCAAAGTGTTAAGCATGAGTGACTGAAATGACGGGGCTGTTGCCAGAAGTGGGGAGACGGAAACTGTGTTGTATGGAGGAGAATTGATTATTATATTTTTTACTGGAAAAGATCTAAATGTCAGGAGTTGTTATGTGGTTTAAATTGTCAAGATTTGAGACTGCTGGTTCTTGGAAGTGTGATACAAAATGCTGTAATGTGGTATGCTGCTGCAAATTAGCTTTATTGATTTGGTATTGTCAAGAAATATAACACCTCAAAAATAGGCAGACTAGCTAAGAAAAAGATACCCCACCGGCAGGTGCGGGTACCACTGTATGGTTTTCCAGCAACAATATTCACAAAGAGCTGGCAGTGTTGCTGCTGGTGCAAATGATATTAAAAGCACCCTTACCTTTCCTCAAGTCCACTGGATGGGAAGTGTGTCCATCTGCCATTCCATCCTGACCGCGCAGGTTCACAATGCATATGGCAGCCCTTAGTGGCAGATGGGAGAGGAACAGATGACCTGTTCCACTGTTTTGTCAACAGGGTTTTGCAGGTATGCACTAAGACCCTGATTCATTTTTGACCCAGAAAAAAGGAGATAACTACAGGCTGTAATTTGAGGGCTGAGGACAAAAGGGCAGCCCCAGGGAGAATGAGTCAGAAATGACCAAGAGTGATCTGGAAATGTATTTATTGGCTTCCTGGAGGGCTTGTGACTTTTGTTGCTCACAGCCCCACCCCAGGTAGTCTTCAGACTAACACAGCTGTCCTTTAATGGCAAGTGGGGTGCTGGAGGATCTGTTTTTGCAGTATGTTTAAGTGTTTTTTTTTCAGCATATTTGTGTTGTTTATGGCTCTTACACTTTTCTATCATTTATTTAGCTGAGAGAGTGCTGTGAAAGATCTTTCACAGATTAAATTAATATACATCATGGAAAAATGCAAATTTAACATATTTACCTAAAGTGTAGCTTTGTAGTATCTCTAACAAACTGTAAGTTAGAACAGTTATGATCACAATAAGAACTTTTTTATAGTAAGAAGAACTTTATTTTACAGTAAGAAGAACTAGTACATTTATTGTTATTATTATCCTTGCCTGAACATAGTTACTGGCACTTTGAAAACTAGAAAGTCATTTAGAGGCAAGTGCATTTTCTACGTTTCAGTGTTAATTAGAGCATATTTCTAGTATGATGAGTAAAACTAGGCAAAGAATATGTTTCAATTTCAATTTTTAAAGTAAAATCGTCCTGTCTCCTTCATACCTTCGAATTGGACATTATTTACTTACCAAAATGTATTGTTTTGCTCTTTTCTAACATTGCCATTTTCACAAGATGGTAACCCTCTAAATTCTACCTGAAACAAGCTGCAGTTGATAAGTTGAAGCCACATGAAGGGCACTGGATCGGGACCTAAAGCTGCTTTGAGCCCTGAGCTCTCCAGGCGCAGCAGCCCATTGGCTAATTTCCTTCATTGAGCCCAAGGACAGGCCAGGCTTCAGGCTGACCTGGAGACCATTGTCCTGTGGCCACTTCTCTTCAAAGCGACGCCGGCAGAGAGGCTGTTGGCCTCAGTGACTCCCAGCACCAGAGCTCTCTCTGCAGTTTTGTGTCTCCTCTGGGTAGAGTTGGCTCTAGGTTGGGGCCTTGAGGAAATACCCAAGCTCTTCTCTTGCTGACCTAGACTAGGGGTACCTGCTTTCCATGCAGAACAGCTGTGTGGTGCATGAATTTGTAGAGCATGCTCCGCAGAGGGAGCTAGGCCTTGGGAAACAGGAGCATCCCTGTGGGAAATGGAGGGAGCCATCCTCACAGAACTGTCTTCCTTCCGGTTGACCTCAGCTGCCTGGGAGAGAAGCAAGAACCTGGGCTCAGCAAGATCCTCAGGAGGTCAAGGCCACCTGGTCCAGAGCAGAGAGGAAAAGAGGTCTTGAAAGGTTGGTCCTGGCCACTCCCTCCCCTGGGGTCCTGAGACTAGGCCTCTGAAGGGAAAGGCCTTTGGTTTCTTGTGCCACCATGGACCTTCTAATGCTCCTCATTCCTGTCCCCAGGCCACTTGCTGCTCTGGCCAAGACATCTGCAGTGCTCCTGTTCCTGAGGCCTTGCGATTCCAAGACATGTCCGAGACATGTGAAGGCACTTCTTGAATCCAAAGCAGCCCCTGCCTGAGGAGCACCAAACATCACAGCTGAGGGGTGCCCAGCTTTGGAGCACCCCTCCCTAGGCCCAAAGACGTCCTCAAAGCTTTGAAGGCTATTCTGGTCATGCCCCATGTAATGTCGGTGTCTACAGAAAAACGTGCAGGGCAAGAGTATAAATATCTGCTTGTTTTGATCACATATTATACTATTTAAAGGTATACAGGATTAATATGTAGTTCTAAATAGATATTCTTAAAAGATAAACTAAAATTAATCCAATTAATCCAAGGTTCTAACCCAGAGTTATCACAGCTAATGGAATGCGCTTGGTATTCATTATAATTTAGCAGTAGGTAGAGCCACCATTAAATTCACTAATAGCTTTAGTTTTGAGCTACAAATTACATGTGTTCAAACTAATTAGGTACACAGCCTTTTCTTTTTTTCATATTTCTTCCTTGTTGATTGCTAATTTTTCATCCTAAGAATTAAAATAACAGCATCACTCATTTGCATTGGTTTCCTTTTTAAATAAATGATTTTCTGATATCACCTCAAACAACTTTAATGCCTTTGCTCTTAGTGCTTCTTTTCAAATAAACATGGGGCGTCTCCAGCCTTTCTCTGTGCTGAGAAGCGACTGCGGAATCCCTTAGAATGTTCTCTTTGGACATCATGGGCCTAACATCTTTTTTTTTTTTTTAATTATTCATTTTTTTTTAGTTGTTGGTGGATATAATATCTTTATTTCATTTTTATGTGGTGCTGAGGTTTGAACCCAGTGTCTCAAGCGAGCGCTTGACCACTGAGCCCCAGCCCCAGCCCTGGCCTGACATCTTACTGTTCATCTTTCCTAAGAAAAATAGACCTTTCTTCTGGCAAGTTTGGGACTTTAAAAATAACAACTACAAAGTGTTTTTCTATGGTAAACGCTCATCATAACTCATTATTTTTCTTAAATCCCTCTGCTCATTTCTTGAGGAAGAGAAGGGGGAGAAGCTTGGATTGTGGTCCACCCACCCAGGAGGTCACGTTTGCTGGGGGTGGGGGTGGGGATGGGGAGTTGCTCACTTCCCGCCAAGTAACCGGGTTCCTTCTGCTGTTCTTAATACACAGACCTCCTGTGGGAGAGCCACCCCCGCTAGGCCCAAGCAGGAAGGAGAAGCCAAACTCTGTGTAAAATCTGGGCCCTTCGACCCGTGGACTTTAAGTTCTTTCCTGTGAGGTTCCCTAAAGGCCCTGAAGACGGAGCTGAGTCCCATTGCCAAGCGGGAACGGAGCAGCTGCACCCAGGGAGACCAGAACAAATGCTCTGGTACTCAGAGGAAGCTCCTGGGATGGCCGTCAGCGGCTCCACTCTTCCTGTGCAGCTTCCTCCTTTGACCTTTCAAGGATCTTCTTGCAGTTAAAAGCTCCCAGGAAACTAGAAAGAGCTGAAGGGCAAAACACCGAGATGCCCCCCGCACTCAGCGCTGGCACACGCCCAGGCGGACCCCAGGTAGCAGTGGCAAAATGAACCTCGCTCCTCTGCTGTTTCCCAGGCTGTGGACTTCATCCAAGGGCAGGAGTGGCCTGCAGCTGGTCAGCGCCCATCCACTGGGCTCTCCCGAGCAGGAGTGCTGGCCTATTGAAAGGGCACCAGGCACACGCACATGCTCCCTCAGGAGCGAGGTGCGTCCACTTGTCTGTGGATGTCACAGTCCAGTGGTTACATCAGCTGACCTGTAGAATATCTACCCTCTTGTCGACTCTAGACGCCGGAGACTGAGCCAGGGTCAAGGCTGAGACTCCTGGACAGCAGCTGGGAAGCCTCTGTGGTGTGGATCGCTTTCAAGCCCGCACTCTGGACTGAAAGACAAAAACAAAGTCCAGCCAAGCAGCTTGATCTGTTCCTTGGTTTGCTAGTTTTGTGCTCCAGGTTCTGGCGACAACTGTACCCACGTCAGGGTCTGAGGGTTTTCAAGGTGCGTGCACACCAGGATGCTCACACCATGGAAACGGGCGCTTCCCGTTGCTCTGGGGAAACAGTTGAGTTAGGAAAACATTTTAAACCAGACATCAGGCCTTGAAGCCATAAAAGAAGTGATCAGTTAGACCTACCAAAAAGTGAACTTTCGTGTCAGAAGACTACCACCACGCCAAAACAAAAGACACACTGGAAACAAACTCTGAAACACGATGGGGAAGTTTACTGTTAAAATTTAGAATTAGAATTTTACCGTTAAATTCTATTATTATATATGATTTGGAAAGACATTCTGAAAGTCTGTGATTAAGATGGCAACAGAAAAAAAAAAAGGCAAATGACATGGACAGGCATGTGGAATAAAAACTGCACATATGCAGTACGAGACCTATAACCCTCATGAACTCCAAGCCATGCCAATGGCATATTTTGACTTGGAAAGGCACATATAAATCCAAATGTTCGATTTTTGCCATCAGGGAATTGGGTAAACAGGTATTCCATATACTTTTACTAGACATGCAAATTAGTTTGAGACTTTCCTATAATAATTTCAAATCTTCCTCTCAACTGTTCTGGTAAGTCCGATTCTAGGAATGAGCTTTAGAAACTCACACGACTGCATTAACAAGAATATGTAAGCTGTAGCAATTGTTTGTAATGGTAAAAGGTTAGAATTGACCCAAATATTTATTATTGCATAATTATAGTGAAAATAAATATTGTGAAACTAGTCATTTACCTCAGAGACAGACTTCCATTTACTGACATGAAAAGGCTTAAGTGACTTTCAGATTGGCAAAGATCCCACTTTTTCTATAAGAACATATTTTCACGTATTTTACCCATGAAACAATTTTGGAGTAGGTGTCCCTAGACTTCTTGTATGGCTGCCACCAAGGTGGGAGGAAAGTGTGTGGGGAGGATGAGGGATTTTACTGTTAAAATTCTATATTTCTTTTTTATACCAAGAGCATATTACTTTTCAAATCAGAAAAATAATGCTATAAAAAGTAAAGACAAAATGGGTGCTTGTGGCAAAGTCAGGATTACCCGCAGCCGGCCACCCATTGTCTGTACACTATTCAGTATCTAATGGCAATCTTCATCTTCTCTGAGTTCTTCCAACCTGTCAGAGTCGCTGGAGGAGATGATTGGATGGTGAAGCACTTGGCTCCTCCCATCTTCCTTTTTTCCTCGTGTTGAGGAGGAGTCTAATTCTGCTCATCCTGGTGGCCCATTTCTCTGCTGAACTGTGGGTGGTTCTGACAAAGGCAAGGTCACAGACCCTAAAAAGCCATGTGGTCTGGGCCCCTGCTTGGTGATTTGTAAACTCCCTGGCTGGCGATGCTGGTGGCATTTGGCCCCTCCCAGGGATGGCTGGGACCCCCTGATTCGGGTATCTCAAAGTGGTTCTCTCTGTGGCTTGTGGCCAGGGTCCTGGAGTGCCTTCTTTTGTCCTGTTTCCCCGTCAGGATTTTGGTAGCCAAGCACCATTCTTTCCTCATTCTCCTTTGCATCAGGTTCTGGGATTTTTTTTTTCATCTCCTTAATAAAATTTATTGATATTTTGCTAGTAAGAATAATCATTTAATTCTTCCTATTCAAGGGTAGGTGACTGCTGATATTTTAAAATGTTCCTCCTTTCTGGGGGGTAGGGGCACAGAGCTAAATCAAATGCATCAATTATTTAAAATATTTTAAAAGCAAATACATTAATTTGCACAGGTGACACAGCTGCAATCAGTGAAGGAGGGAGAATGCGTGGTGGGCAGGTGGAGCGGCAGGAAGGAGGAGGGCTGCCTCCCAGGTGAGCTGCATCTTGACCTGGGCTTTGCTACTCCTCTCCGTGTGTGCCGGGACCCTTTAAGTATGCATCTATGGCTGATCTTTAGAATATCATTTTAAAGCTCATACGTAGAGTGGGCATTTCAAGTTTTGGTGTCTGAATCTCAGCATAGGTACACGTCTGCACCCGTCACCATGACACAGATATGGGACACCAGTGGCCCACAGGTTGGCCATGTGGCATGTGTGGTTCACCCATCGCCCTGGCATCCACTGCCTGGTCACGTGCCCTGTGGCACAGTTTGGTTTTTGGAGGATGCTGTGTAAGTGGAATAATAATACAGTGTGCAACCTCTGTGCAGCTTACCCACCGGGGTTCACAGAGCTGTGAGCTATGGTTTCTTTTATTTCCTGGCCATGTTGGGTGGAGGGGAACCCTGGAGTTTGTTACCCACTGGGGAACATTGGAGTGCTCTGGTACTTGGTGATTATGAACCCACCTGCTATAAACCTTTGGTTCACATTTCTGGGTGAAGTAAGTTTTTATTTCTTTAGGGAAAATAACCAGGTGTGGGATTGCTGGGTTCTAGATACGTACGTGTTTAATGTCATAAAACACTGGATCTTTATAAATAATATTGTGTTTTTAAATTTAATTTTCCACTTGTTTGTTGCTGTCTCTGGAAATGGAATTGATTTTTGTGTATTGATATTTTATTCTATAATCTTGCAAAATCATTTATTGGTTCTTAGGAGGAGGTTTTTATTTATTTATTTTTTAAATCTTTGGGATTACTTAAAGACAGTCACATCCTCTGAGTGTAGGGCTGGCTTTTATTTCTTCATTTTCAATCTGTATGCTCTGAATTTCTTCTTCTTACCCACTGAGCAGGGCAGGGGTTCCAGTCTGATGTGAAACAGGAGTGAGGAGAGGTGATATCTTTGCTTTCTTCTTCCTCTTGGGGGAGTAGCAAGCAGTTCACTGATAAGTACTCAGCTGAAATTTTGTTCTTTTGATCTGTTTGCAAATGTCCTTGATCACATGTTCCTTTCTGTTGTTTAGTTTGCCAAGAGTTTTTTCCCTCTTTCTTTCACTTCCATTTATAGTGGATGTGAAGTTTTATTAAGTATTTTTTTTCCCCATCAATTGATATGATGATGAGCTTGAGCCTCTTCAGACTGCTAATCTTAACGGTTCATTTTCAGATACTGGCCAACCTTGCATTCCTGGGATAGATCCCACCCCGCTCTGGTTCTTTCTTCATGCCACTGTGTTTGAAAGGCTAACGCTTTGCCCTGCAGCGTCCTTTCCTTGCACCCTCTCTGTCTGCTTTTGGAGTCTGGCAATGCTGGCTTGTTGAAGGGCTTCCAGGTGTGGCTGTTACCGAGGGTCCTGCCACGAACTGGTTTGATGTCTCTGGGGCACAAACGCGCAGATCCACAGAGGAAGTTTGAGTGACTGCTCTGAAGAAACTTGACCACAACATCATGTGTGGCGGATACTGCTGGTGCCCAGCTGCTGGTCCCTATGCCTTTCCTCCTTTGGAGGAATGCACGGACCCACACCCCTTCAGCGGGAGGTGACCAGATGGTCTGGTGCTGGCCAATGAGATTCAGATGGAAGTCTTTGGAGTTAAGTTTCTAGAAAAGCGTTAGTGATGCTGATTAAAGTGACAGACTCCACTGGAAATAGCCTGTTTTCCTCCTGCCCTCTCTCTGGAACCCCTGCTGATGTCTGGGCGTGGAGGGTCACCTTTAACCATGAGCATGAATGCCCCTCTCCGAGGATGAGGCAGGGGAGCCCCTGGCTCGCTGGTGGTGGCCTGGGACTGTCTGCCTCTGGACTGGTGACCTGGGACAGTGGTCTCCATTTCATTTGCTCACCCACCTGCCACCAGGTGCTGCTCCCTGAGGCCAAAGGCAGAATCCAGAGAGCTGGCCCACCTGGCTTCACTGTTTCTCTGAATATCTCCTGGGACAGAGTTCTGCAGCAGAGAGGAATTTGTTCAGAAAGGAATGTGAAGGCCATCTTGTGCCTGACCATCTCTAACAAAGATACCAGTGCTGAGAGGGGGCTCAGGGTGGCATGGCGTTGGCTCCAGGGCCTGCAGGACTGGGCCTGAGCCCTTGCTCCTTCCCAGCCCTGTACATGCTAATGCATCCCATCCACCTCCAGGGATCTCGCCAACCCCAATTACATCGCATTGAAAAGAAATCTATCTCCATCCTCATAAGGTTAATGTGAGGGTATGCAAAAGCTTATCTTCCTCCGTTTCATAAGCCTTATTTCAGTGGAAAATCAATATGTTGTGACTTGAATTGGTATTAATTATCCTCATTGGAAAATGGTAAATTTAGCAAAATACATTGGCTTTATGTTTAAAAATATGGCCGGAAGTTCTGCCCATGTGGCAAACACCAAGCTTAAAGGGGCCAGACAGTCAGGCCCTGCCTGCCCTCACAGTCTCACAGCCCAGAGGTGGACACACAGGGGACCCAGCACACTGAGCCAAGGAGAACTGAGTCGAGATCGTGGAAAACAAAAGATTATGTCTTACACTGTTGTCTCCCTGGAGACTCCTGTGCAAAGCAGCCTACATGCACAGACGGAGTCTGCTCTGGGCCCAACAGACACAAAGCTACTTCTCAACATCATTTTAAAGATACAGAGAACCCAGTGGAGAAATGATAATACTAGGAAAATCTGAGAAATGCCACAGAGTCTCTGGAAATCATGTTTCAACCTTAGAAAGGAAGCACGTATTCTCAGAGCACTTGCTAAATGTGGGTTTATCCTCACAGTCCTAAGTGCATTTGAAAAATGGAAATATCCTGGTTGATTTTTGTTCCAACTTTGTTTTCTCCACATTCTGACATTTTCTTCTGATTTCTAGAAATGTGGGTGCTGGCTGCAAACCCAGATATTTCTTCTGCTCAGTGAATGCTCATCTTTTTTCCTCCTAAAGAATTGATATTGAAATGTACACCATCAGGGGTGATGGGATTAAAGAATTTAATGAATTACAGAAGTATTCTATTAAGGACTAGAGATCATTCTTATAAACCATGAATTAATTTTTATGAATTAGGTCCAAAGAGCTTAAGTAAAATACAGCTAATATTTCATAAGTAATTTCAGCCCTCTTTAATAGTACAAGTCTCTGGTGTGTAATATTTAGGTAATGATTATCATAAAATAGACATCTTTTGAGGGCAATTATGTGTTCTCTGTACCTCTTTGTGAGGGAGCTGGGAGGAGGATGTCATTACATTTGACAGTATATTTATCTCCCCTAATATGCATGATATTCGGATGGAAATGTGGTTATCTTCCTCTATAGGAGGGTAATTCTGGGAGCCCTGAATACCAATCATGTCCCCAAACCTGCTCAGACGTGAAAAACAGCACAACCAGACTCCCAAAGTACAGGCTGTTCCTGGGGATAGGGAGTCACTGGTTTGTTTGATGAACACAGAGGGCTGTCCTCCTGGGGAGGGGGTAGGCCCCGGCAAGGGGAGAGATGGCTCAAAGAGATGGCTTACATCAGGGAAGTGGTAAACACATTTCAAGGTGAAGGTGAGACCTCCTCTGGGTTTGTGTTTTCAAGGAGAGTAGGGTGACTGAAACAGGTCCCCAGGGAGGCCGTGAGCTCCTTCCCCTGCACCTGTTCTGTCATTTTTGTTCTAGGACTGATGTTCATGGTAGTGGTGGTGGTGGTGGGGGTGGAGATGGTGGTGGTGGTGGTGTTAGTGGAGGTGGAGGTGGTGGTGGTGGTGGAGGTGGTAGTGGTGGTGAAGGTGTTAGTGGTGGTGGTGGAGGTGGTGGAGGTGGTAGAGGTGGAGGTGGAGGTGGAGGTAGAGGTGGTGGAAGTGGTGGTGGAGGTGGTGGAGGTGATGGTGGAGGTGGAGGTGGAGGTGGTGGAGATGGTGGTGGAGGTGGAGGTAGTGGAAGTGGTGGTAGAGGTGGTGGAGGTGGTGGAAATGGTGGTAGTAGAGGTGGTGAAGGTGGTGGTAGAGGTGGTGAAGGTGGAAGTGGTGGTGGTGATGGTAGCGGTGGAGGTAGAGGTGGAGGTGGTAGAGGTGGAGGTGGAGGAGGTGGAGGTGGAGGTGGTGGTGGTGGTGGAGGTGGAGGTGGAGGTGATGGTGGAGGTGGAGGTGGTGGAAGTGGTGGTAGAGATGGTGGAGGTGGAAGTGGTGGTGGTAGAGGTGGTGAAGGTGGTGGTAAAGGTGGTAGAGGTGGTGAAGGTGGTGGTAGAGGTGGTGGAGGTGGAGGTGGTGTTGGTGGTGATTTGTAGTGGAGATGGAAGTGGTGGTAGAGGTGGTGGAGGTGGTGGAAATGGTGGTAGTAGAGGTGGTGAAGGTGGTGGTAAAGGTGGTAGAGGTGGTAAAAGTGGTAGAGGTGGTGAAGGTGGAAGTGGTGGTGGTGGAGGTGGTGAAGTTGGAAGTGGTGGTGGTGGTGGTGGTGGTGGTGGAGGTGGAGGTGGTAGTGGAGGTGGTAGAGGTGGTGGAGGTGGTAGAGGTGGTGGAGGTGGAGGTGGTGTTGGTGGTGATTTGTAGTGGAGGTGGAAGTGGTGGTAGAGGTGGTGGTGGTGGTTGTAGTGGAGATGGAGGTGGTGGTAGAGGAGGAGGTGGTGGTGGTGGTGGTGGTGATAGCAATTGCCTTGCTGTTGTGTCTTTAGGCTTTCACACCAGCCTTGGAATATGTTATCTGTACCTTCCAATATTCCAATGGGACAAAGATACTCTTTTTTTTTCTCATTAATGGAGAGAAAAATCAAAGCTTA